AATAGAAGTGAAAATGAAAGTGAAAGTGAAAAAGCGAAAAAGTAGAAGTGAAGGTCATACTTTAATACTTATTCGCAAAGAGAAAGAGCTGGTATAAGCGTAAATAAAGGTATAAGCGTAGATAAGGATAAAGGCGTGCATAAGGGTATAGAAGTGGATAAGGGTATAAGCGTAAGTGAGGATATAAAAGTAAATCAATCTCTCGTCGGCTTCTGCTTCTGCTTTTGCTTCTGGTTTTGGTTCTATTCTATTCTATTTTATTCGAAAAAAAGCGAGAAAGTGAAAGTGGAAGTGAAAGTAAAGTAGAAATGAAATAGAAATGAAGTAGAAGTAAAAGTGAAGTGGAAGTGAACCGAGGAAGTAGAAATGAAGCGAGGAAGTGAAAATGAAAGTAAAAGTGAAAATGGAAGTGAAAGTAGAAGTCAAAAGAAGTGAAAAGAAAGCGAAGTGAAAGTAAAGTAGAAGTGAAGGTCATACTTTAATACTTATTCGCAAAGAGAAAGGGAGAGGAGAAAGAGCTAGTGTAAGCGTAAAAGTGGATAAAGGCGTGCATAAGGGTGTGGAAGTGGATAAGGGTATAAGCGTGGGTGAGGGTATAAGTAGAAGCAGATCAATCTCTCCTCGGCTTCTGCTTCTGCTTCTGCTTTTGGTTCTATTTTATTCGGGGAGAAGCGAGAAAGCGAAGCGAGAAAGTGGAAGTGAAAGCGAACAACAAATGAGAGGGACTGTAATAATAGCCTGAGGCCACCAGGGGGGGTGAAGGAGGGAGTACCGGTAGGAGGGCAGGGTAGAAGGGAAGGGAAGGGAGGGTGGAAGTAAAGGGGGGGGGGGGGGGGGGCGTAGACTAAAAATGCACGTTCCCACCTGTTATTGTACTTAAGGTCACACCTTACAGTACCGGTACTACCTCACATCTAAGTCCCTTAAAGGCAGAAAGGCAGAGAAGTAGGTAAAAGGGTTGCTTCAATCCGTCAGCTATTATAACAATTCCGATAACGGCCTCTTTTTTTAAAAAGGGACGGTCATCTTAAGAGCTTAACATGATTGGTGCAATCAAATCAAATCAAATCAAATCAAATCAAATCAAATTACCTTGAGAGCCGATACTTGAGGATTACACAGGATTTGAAGGGGGGAAAAAAAAAAAAAAAAAAAAAAAAAGAAGAAAAAAAAAAAAACAATTCATTAAAGATTCTTCAAATCGCAGCCAGCTAAAATAGAACGAACTATTTTCATTGATCCAATCGACTTTTATAAACGCTCGTCTCTTGGTATCAAAACCGTCTTAAGAGAGCGTTTTTTAAGCGTTTTGAACCCCCTCCCCTCTCCCCCCTTTTTTTTAAGACCGTCTTATAGTAGCCCCGTCTTAAAGCCGTCTCTTGAATTCTTGAAACCCTCTTGAAGAACACTCACTTGGAATAGTAAGCGAATAATCTTTTCTTTTCTTTTTTTCTATTACTTATTTATTATCTTCTTACCGCCGTTTGATGATTATAGCTTGTTGCGTCATACAGTTATTGATCTATAGTACCAACCGGGATTTTTTTTAAAATGGGTTTTTAACTCCTTTGAAAACTCGGTTGGGAAAATACTTTTTGAGATGGGATACTTGCGTTGACCTGGGGCACGCGCTTATCCTGATTGTGATTTTAAAGGCAGGTAGGTAGGTACCTGGTTATTCAAGCCGTCAGCTGATAATCCGATTACGGTCTCTTTTAAAAGACGGTCTTCAAAGGTTGGTATAGTTAGTGGATCACCTGAGGCCGATCGATACTTAAAAGTAAATAGGATTTTAAAAATAAAGGATTTAAATCACTTGGATCGTAGCTAAGATAGATTTATTTTAATCAATTAAACCGTCTTTCATGCAAGCTCGTCTTTCCGTTAGAGACTAACCTCGATTGCTTTAAGACCGATCTAGGACCGTCTTATAGCCGTCTTAAGGCCGTCCTCGAACTTCAAACCGTTTTCGAGTACTTGAATTGATAGGCAAATATTTTTAGTCTTTGGCTTATATCTCTTTCGAATCTTTTACCACTCTCACCTCCTTTCAACTACCACCGTCGCTAGTATGCGTACTATCAAGCGAGACTGAAGTGATCTTTCATTAGATCAATCGATTCCGATCTTAAATCTTTTAAAACGTTGATATATACCTTAAAGGGTGGTAAGGGGTCATTTGAATGGTCCATTGATCCTCTTTTATAAAAGACGGCCATTGGACCGCTTAAATTCAGTACTAAGCTCTTTTCAAGAATAATTTATCGAAAAGATCGTCCTATTCAAAGAGACCGTTTTGTAGCCGTCCTATAGCCGTCCTCGTTTATATTTTTAAAACAGGCTTATTAAAAAGCTCGTTCTAAAAAATTGAAATAGTTCGATGACCATTTTAAAAAAGATATAGTTATAAATAGAAATCATCTTTTAAATAAAATTATTTTAATAATAATTTAAGAAGTTCGACGCTAAGATATTTCTCGGTATCGCTGCTAATCGTCGGTTTCCTTAAATTTTAATTCGAAAGAATTGACCGACTTGCTGTAGCAAGTCGGCACCACCAAGGCGGGACAGTAAAATTTGCTCCTTTTTAATAAATAAAAAATCAACTAACTATTATAGATTAATTACTTTTGTATAAAAAGATGTGCAGTATTGAGTTTAATACTAATCAATTAATTGAATTTTAATTACAAGTTGTTATTCCTTTATTGTGTTGAGTTAAGGTAATAAGAATAGTACTTTTGGTAAATACTTTTCGATTTTAGTAATACGTAGGTATATATCAGAATTACCGCGTATATATTAGAATAAGCGGGGAACACGAAAATCGGACTTTTATTTAAATCTATCAAAAAAAATACGTGCATCATTACCAACTTTGATTTAATAGTTGACACATTTAGTAATATAATATATTAAATCATTTTATTTCGATCTATATAACGTTTTTTTGAATTAAGGTTGTGGTTATGAAGATATTTGCAATAAACAAGTAAATTTGAATTATTTAGGACAGTTTTTGACCATTTTTTTACTACATTTTAATGTATTAGATTACCACAAATAAATGCATTTTCATAATTTTAATTCACGTTTGTAAAGAGGGATTTTCTAAGCATATAAATATTTTTTTATAATTTTTTATAATAATAGTTGTTGTTTAATAAGTGGTATACCGTTACTGTCCCGCCTTGGTGGTGCCGACCTGGCGCAGCCAGGTCGGGATTTTTTACAAATTAAATTCAAGGTAACCGACGATTACGGCTTGTATACTAACGCTTTAATTTTTTTATAATCAAAATCGATCGATTTAGCAAAAGTTTACCCGCGTATAACGGCCGCCGTTGCAGCATTCGCAAGGAGAGGGTAATAATAGAATAAGGGGGTATAGTAAGTGGTTAAGGTAGTAAAAGGTAGATTAGCAAGCAATTAAAAGAGTATTTGCTTACTAATTCACGTTCTTAAAAACGGCTTTAAGCTCAAGGACGGCTATAAGACGGCTATAAGACGGTCTTAAAACGCTCGAAGACGGTCCTAAGACGGTTTTTATACGAAAAGACGAGTATTTAAAAAAAACGATTTAATCGAATAAAATAGTTATATTTTAGCTACGATTTAAATAATTTAAATCGTTTGTTTTCAAATTCTATTCAATCTTAATATAAGCTTAAAGTGATCTACTAGCTATGCCAACTTATTAAAATCGTCTTTAAAAGAGATGGTTATCGGACGATCAGCTGACCGTCTAAATGCTCCTGCATTCCCTTTAAGGTAAGCTGTAATAGCGAGACCGAGAAATATCTCAACATCGATTTTTTTAAATTATTATCAAAACGATACTAGTACAAGACGGGTTCTTATATTTCAATCGTATTTCATCAAGAACGAACATTAGATTCTCTTAATTATTTAAAACGGATTCCTTAATAAACGTATTTTGAAAATCTAAAAGAAGACGGCTATAAGACGGTTATAAGATGGTTTTAAGCTCGGGAACGATTGTAAAAGTGAACCATTTTTGATTTGTAATTTATATTGATTTCAAACGGTCTAATAACCGTTTTTCATACAAAAGGGTTAGAATATCGGTACATGTCTTCAAGGTACCGAGAGCCCGGAGATAAAAGACGGCGCACTGACTATTAAGCTTTTAAACGTATAATTTTTATTAAGAAGTTAAATTAATCTTATTTAAGATTAATTTAAATGCTTAATTATACGAACGTGCAATTGCCGTAAACTGCGAGCTATATACACTTTAATTCCCTTAAAACTTGTACGCAGTTTCTATCTCTCTTATCTTATCTACCAATTAATTAATTGGCCCTTCTTTTTTTCTTTATCTTTTTTCAATTCTGTTTCTCATCTCTGTTATCAGAAAATAATACTTGAACTCGGATCCGGATGCGACGATGAAAAATAGAGCGAGATACGGAGGATAGGATACGGAAGATAGGCGAGAGAGAGAGAGAGAGAGAGAGAGAAAGAGCGCTGGTGTAGGAGTGGGTGGGGCAATGGGAGTAGATCAATCTCTCGTCGGCTTCTGCTTCTGATTCTATTCGGAGAAACAAAAGCGAAAGTAAAAGCGAAGAGAAAGCGAAGAACGGACGGAGGGAGGGACGGAGAGACAGATGGCTCCTTTCTTATGTTGTATATGTATCACGTGTATCCTGTACGTAAGTTAGGCTAGGTATCTACGAAGTAGCTAGCTCGCTAGCTAGCTAGCGCGTGTGTGTGTTTATTCATGTATGCATATCATCAAATCTATCCCTAATTGTTGCCTATCTCCTCATTCCTCGTAAAGATAAATGATCGAGAGGGTATCCCCAGACGGAATCTCTGACTGGTGGTGCGCGCCTGCCATTTTTCCTTTCCTACGTTCATGCATACATGCATACAGTTCTTTTTTTGTTGTTGGGAGAGTGGTCCGTCCTTAGAATTCGAGATACAAAATCATAGAAAGCAAGCAGGTAGAACGATAGAGAGACGATGAGGTTAGGTCAAGAAGATCTCTGTTTCTTCTTGGGACGAGCCAGCTCAGCGTCTGCGTCCGAGTTTTCGCCCGCCGAGAGGGCGGCGGGTTCCTCGTCGCCGGCTTCTTCCTCGTCGCCGGCTTTTTCTTCGTCGTCGTCGGATTCGAAGTCGGCGTCGGAGAGGGCGTCTTGCTCTTGGGCTTGTGCTGTTTTTGTTGTTTTCTTGTCAGTCTGTGCCCCCCCCGACATGTATTGAAGAAGGTAAGATCATCCTGGGTTGATGATGCCGGATGGATTTGCTTGACTTACTGAAATACTTGATGGCGCTTGGCCACAGATCCTCACTGATGGCAACCGCGAGATCGTCGCCCTCGGGAAAGATTTCTAGACTCATGTCCACTTCATCCTCTCCTTCCGTATCCTCAGTTTCAGTATCTTGCTCTCCCTTCTCTCCGTCTCCGTCCTTGTCTGTATCGTGCGCGCTTCCAGCCTTGCGAGCTTCTCTCCTCCGAGCCTCGAGCGCATTCGCCGCCGCGCTCTCCTCCGCCGTGATATTGCGTCCGATGAACCCGAACCAAGCAAAGAAGGACAGTCCGCCCATGCCCGTCCCGTCAATATGCTTCTTCAACGCCTTCTGCTCCGGCGTCAGCCCAGCCTTCTTCTTCTTCTTGTCCTTCGCTGCACCACCACCACCACCACCATCCACCACCGACGAAGAAGACTTCCGCTCCGCCTCCCAGGCCTTGACGACCAGCCCCAGCACACCACCCGTCAGATCCCGCCCCGCCTTCCAATCGATCGGCACCGGCTCGCTCACCAGGCCGGTCCAGCCATCCGTGGCCCTCCGCCACCAGAAGCGCTTCTCCAGACTCGCGTCGCGGAAGTACTCGTTCTCCTGGAAGTCGAAGCGGATGCTGACGGAGCGGGGGTCGCCGTGCGGGAGCTCGGCCTCGAAGTGCGACACGGAGAGGGACGCGAGCGAGGAGAGCAGGAGCGCCGAGTCCGAGGGCTGGATGTACTGGTCGATGTCCGGCGGGGCCTGCTCGAGGACCAGCGGCCAGAAGTTGGGGATCTGAGCGACGGTCTTGGAGCGCCGGGCATAGAGGTGTTTGGTGAGGGCGAGCTGTTGCCGGACTGTTGCGGGGGGGAAGGGTTGTTGTAAGCAGAGCGAGCTTTTTTGGGGGGGGGGGGGTGCGAGGGCGAGAGTGAGGGTGAGGGTGAGGGTAAAGATGGGCTCAAAGATCAACCAACGAGGCACATTCTACGTACTGATCTCTGTCTCGACTTGGTCAAATTCCCTCTCGATTTCGGCCAGGTCCTCGTACGACACGGGCGTGTCTTCCAGCGCTGCGGCCATGGCTGCGGAAGTGAAGGCGAATTTCTGGGGCATACGTATGCGAAAATTCGGGAATGTGGTTGTGGTAGCCGAATCGAGGGAGGGATCAGTTGAAGAGATTCGGGAAGGCAATGGTAAAGTCGGGCTGCTGTTGTTCTTGTTGTTGCTGTTGTTTTTGTTATTATTAGCGGGTCTGGACAGATGGATGTCACCGCGCTGTGGAGAGTGGGTATGTGGGGGAGGATGTATATATGGAATCACATTCCAATTGATAAATTCGATTCGAGTTCAATCAAGATATCTATTGTTTCTTGCACGCCCGTAGAATGGAAAGCGAACATGGTAAATGGTAAATATACAGAGAGCGCAAACCACCAAATAACAAAAATCAAATTCTTTCTCTAATCGGTCGGTATACGGAGTAAGTATAGTCCGAAAGAAAGCAGGCACGTGATTCCAAGCAAGCAGATCAGGTACAACGCTGCGTGCACCCATGGCCATCTTCAACACCATCGATATAAGTAGAATCAAATATATGTGTATATATTGATATCTATCCATATAATGCATACCTCATCCTTCTTCTTCAGCCATTTCCCCGTTTTCCATATCAAGTACGGCCCTCCCTCGGCAATCAGCTCGGATCTCTTGAGTTTTTTCTTTTTCGCCAGTCATGGTTTTCTCTTACCCCATAGCGGCGGGCACGCGAGAAGATATATATATCTATCGGATTGAGGATTTGACCTTCCTTCGCTTCGCATTATTCCTACGGAAATTATTTTATCCTTGGGCTACTCACTTCTCTTTAATTGCATCCATCGGTCTACTCAGCATCGTTAAATCGGATAGATATCAACCGCAGAGGACGCTAGCTGGACAAGAGATACCGAGATACCGAGATACAGAGCCGCCAAAATCACCGACCTTTCTCATCAGATAGATCCTTCGGTGCAGCAAGTCGCCACCATTCGCACGCCGCCATCATGGCAACGCAATACCCCGAAGCCCGGGTCCTGGTCATTATGACCGGCGGCACGATTTGCATGAGGGCTTCTTCTCAAGGTCTGGTTCCGGCCCGGGGTTTTCTGAGGGAAGGGATGGCTCCTAGGCCAAGCTTCAACGATGGGTCAATGCCTGGTATACAATTTCTCGATTTCTTTCCTGCTATTTTCTTTTCAATCGTGCTTCCGTCCCGTTGACCTCCTTTTTTATGAAAAATTGCATTGAGTTGAGTGCTGGGATGGATGATGTATCAACAGGACTGGTGCTTTCTTTCTGCGCGCATTCTTGTTGAACAACCTCCGTGCCAGGCCTGAGTGGTACTGTTGTCTGTCCAAAAGGGAGAGAAAAAGAGCGAAAGATGCGGCTTCGGGGAGAGATCGTGCTATTATTTCCTCTGTTTTAATGGAGAAGTGCTACGTCTATATCCCCTCAAACTTGGTGGTTCTTGAGAATCCTTATTTGTCTCCTTGTTCTTCTTTCTTCTCCCGCTGCCTCCTTCTTCCTCCATCATAGCTATCAGCAAGGCCTCCGACCACTTAATCAGATTCACGCCCTGTTCTTACATTACAAGCTAATACCCCCAGATCCCCTTCCAGTGATGACAGACGCAACAACAAAGGAATACCACCCCAGTCTTCGCACGCCACCCAGCACTTACTCTCGGCACGTTCGTTATACACTGTATGAGTTTCCCGTCCTCCTCGATTCCTCTTCTATCTCATCTGAAGGCTGGACGCAAATCGCAACCACGATTCAAAACAACTACTCCCTGTTCGATGGCTTTGTCGTCCTCCACGGTACAGACAGTCTTGCATACACCTCCTCGGCGCTGTCTTTCATGCTCTCCCACCTCGGCAAGCCCATCATCCTAACTGGCTCGCAAGCCTCTATCTTCTCACTCCAGTCCGATGCCGTCGATAACCTGCTTGGATCTCTGATTCTGGCAGGCACCTTCACGATACCCGAGGTCTGCCTTTTTTTCCACCACAACCTGTATCGCGGGAACCGCTGCACCAAAGTCTCCGCCTCTTCCTTCGATGCCTTTGCCTCCCCGAATTGCGAACCACTCGCCAAAGTCTCCGCCATGGGCGCCGAAGTCAATTGGGCTTTAGTTCGCCGTCCAAAAAGCCTCGCCAAGTTCGACGTACAGACAAATCTGGACACAGCACACGTGGCATGTCTCCGTATCTTCCCTGGTATCAAACCTGAGATGCTTGACTCCGTTCTCCACGTTCCTAAACTCCGCGGGTTGATCCTCGAAACTTTCGGCGCAGGCAATGCACCCTCGGGAGCAGATGGTAGTATGGTAAGTATTAGGGGAGAATCTCCCTCCCTCCTCTTTTCATTGTCCCGAAGGCTTCTTGTACGGAAAACTTCTAACTATCCTGTGTCCTCTTAGGTTCGCGTCATCAAATCCGCCGTGGCGCGCGGGATAGTCATAGTGAATGTCTCTCAATGCCAGTCCGGCTCCGTGTCACCCCTTTACGCTCCAGCCACAACACTTGGAGACGCCGGTGTTGTCTTCGGACACGACCTCACGACTGAAGCAGCACTGACCAAACTCTCCTTCTTACTTGCACTTCCCGGCCTCTCGTACACTGACATCACCTCGCAAATGCAGTTTTCGATCCGTGGCGAAATGACCGAGTCCCATAGCATGGCATTCTCGCACCCAGGTACGGATATCCCGTCGCTTCAAGAGTCGCAGGCTGCCTTCACCACGTTGGGATACGCTATCACCAAGGGCTCCTTGGAGACGGTCAAGACGCTACTGAATGGTGATAAATTTGGTCTTCTGGGAGCCAGAGATTACGCGGAGAATACCGCGCTGCATCTCGCAGCTGTCGGCCCACAGATCGAGGTCTTGAGGGAGCTGCTGAAGAGAGGTGCCAGTGTGCATGCTCGCAATCTGGCCGGGAATACACCACTGTACCTCGCAACCAAAGTAGGCAACTCGGTGGCTGTGAGGCTGCTCGAAGAGACCGGCGCGTTATTGCATGTCGAAGAAGTAGAGGAGGGTATGGTATGTCTCGATAATCGACGAGAGACTGGTGAAGTAGGAGATGGCAAACGAAAGCGGCTGTCTTGAAAATACTAGGTTGCTTGATTATTGCTGAGAATTGCTGAGACTGGACTCGATTACGATTGGAATTAAATTGATGTAAAAGCACCAAAAAAGAGCTGTCATATAATCGTCGGCTCGCTTAAGTAGGCCTCCTTACAGCCTTTCAGTCTTAGTCAGTAAAAGCGATTGCGGATCGGAAGCGAGTACGGATTTTTCGAGTGTATTAGAAATTCTTTTATTGTTATCAACGGTAACCCAAGATAAATTCCAATAGTTGTAGTAGTGTTTAATCATCTAATCACGTAAGACTATTTTATATCGGTCTAGCAGGATTTCTAAGCGTGCTAAAACTTTTATTCCATCATCCATGTTAATTTATTAAACTTTTTTCGGAACAGGTCGGCTCGTATTAAAAAAAGAAAAGGAATCAAAGTAACTTCGGCGCCGAAATATTAATGCAAACGCGTCTGTTACTTCGTAAATTAATTAATCAATTAACAATTACGCGTTTACTAATCATTATCACTAACGGTGACCCAAGATAAATTCTAGTTATTATGGTGGTAGGTGATGAGTCATCCAATAATCGTAGTAGTGATGAGTCATCCAATCACGTAAGACTATTTTATACTGATCTAATAGAATTTTTAAGCAATGCTAAGAGAAATGTCGGCAAATAATTCTAGATTTCGAAAAGGGTCGGCCCGAATTAAATATGTCTTACAGCTAAGCTTAATTTAATCACCGCTATTAATTCTGCCGACGGCCGTACGTAACGTACGTAAAGCTGCCACACGTAACGTACGTAAGGCTGCTATACGTAACGCACGTCGCTGCTATACGTAGCTTACGTAAGGCTGCTACACGTAACGCACGTCGCTGCTATACGTAACTTACGTAAGGCTGCTACACGTAACGCACGTCATTGCTTTACGTAATACGTAAAGCAGCTAAGCTGCTACACGTAACTTACGTAAAGCTACCACACGTAACGCACGTCGCTGCTTTACGTAATACGTAAGGCAGCTAAGCTGCTACACGTAACCTACGCAAGGCTGCCATACGTAACTTACTTAAGGCTGCTACCAATCAAAAGACCCCTAACTTGATTGTAAATGTGACGACACGCCAGGTCTCCTGGACCCACCTCACATGCGCCAAGCTACTTCCTTCCTTTTTTCCTTCGTATTCTTCGTATTCTCTCATTCCCCGCTTTTTGACCCATGAACCATGGTTCACGAGTCCTTGGCGCTTCTACCTTCGTGTATATAGACCTCAGCTACCTTCGACCTCTACACTCGGTAGTTGTTGATTCTAAGTCATTACTTTGAGATTCTCCTGAGCTCCCATGTGAACCCCCGCGCTCCCGTGAGTTCCTTCAGGTAATCGCTTAAGGTCGTCACAGTAAAACTTATTAGTTAGTTAATGCACATGATTCCTACTAACCGTATAAAAGGAATCAGCTCTCTTAAGCCTTAAAAAGCAATTAGAATTCAAATACCTTTACAACCGAGTGTTTTGCAATTGCAAGTACTTTGCCGACCTTCACGAAGTTACGAATATATTTCCTAATCGCTTAAAAGCAATTTATAATAATAATAATAATAATAATAATAATAATAATAATAATAATAATAATAATAATAATAATAATAATAATAATAATAATAATAATAATAATAATAATAATAATAATAATAATAATAATAATAATAATAATAATAATAATAATAATAATAATAATAATAATAATAATAATAATAATAATAATAATAATAATAATAATA